TTAAGGTTTATGTTTTCCATTTCACAACTAGAGTAAGAATGTTGATTACATTTGAGGAAGTAGAAGTTACAGTATGTACAGTAGATTTTGGTTAAATTATTTAAATATGCTCTATTTATTTTGAAATACCTTATTGCCATGATGACAGAAGCTGTTTTTTTACTTGAACAAACATTAATCTTTATGCTTACTTGCCAAATATATTTAATTTATACTTTAAAGTAATCATCACAAATCACTATTATCTCTGTTTAATTAAATCTTGGTATTTGTTAAAGAAACATTCAAGTGTCTTATGTATCTGCATGTGTAACTTTACAGACTTTGATATCGAAATCTATAGATGACATTTGAAGAGAAGGAGACATACTGTATTAGAAAGCTGAACTATGGCTACAGGTTAAAAAACAAGAAAAAATAAGACACCTAGTTTATTTTTAAGCTGGCAATTAATAAACATTTACATGCTGATTTCTGTTACACAATACACAATAACAATAGTGTTTTATGTAAGAAAATGAGAAAATTACGGTATAGTATAACACCATCATTTACCAGTTTTTAGAAACAATTTTATGTAATGTCAACCACATTTATATTTTTTTAATCACGGTGGCAGACATTCTTATGTATTTTTACAGCTAAATTCAGACAGCTTTTAACCTATTTTGTTCAACAGAATCACAGTGAACTACTGTTTGCTGTTTTTATTTCATATCGATAAAGGGAATTAAGTGTTGTTTTTCACCTTGTAACTTAACTTTTAACTTGCGTTATGCAATTTACTTCCTGTTTCATTTCTTTTCTTTCTTCAATTACCCTGAAACTATTTTTTTTTCATATACAAATAAGCTTTTTCTGCCATTCGTCTATTAACGTTAAAAGAAAACACCATGAGACAGAGTAGCCTAATGAAAATAATTAGTTAGAGAAAGATTTTAGCTAACTGGGAATTTACAGAGATTGTTAAGTAGTCTGTATTGTGAAAAGTGCACAGATAATTTTATTTTAAACACTTGATATAAACTTTCACAATGATTGATTTTTTGCTGTAATTTATTTAGCATGGTAAAAAAGTGAATTATCAATCATCCTAATACTGTGTGTACATTAAATAATCAGCTGTCTGAAAACCTTGAGTAAAGTGTGAATATATACCACCAACAAAGTAGAGCCTGTATTTAAGCTTTAAAATTGAACTGGAATCCTGCCTTTAGAAATTAAAACCTTGTTGGAGTTTTCAGGTCTGAATACAGTACTATACCGAATTCAAATCTTTACATTTAAAAATTCAAATGACACAAAATAAACTCCACATAGATATAACTGTACAGGTATTTTATTCTGTTTACTTAAAGGTTCCCAACAAAAGCCAACAGACTTACAGTATCTGTCTGCAATAAAAGTTATCCCAGAGATTATAAAAACCTTTTATCGCTCTAAAAACACTGCTGTAATAATGTCTGAAAACTGGGCTTATTCTCAAAGTTCACATTAACTGACTAGAAAGATGTCTTAAAAAAGGATTTTTTTTATGAACGCTCAAGATATGGAATAGGTTACTCATCTCAATCCTTAAAAGAAGACAGTGATAAGAATAACTTAGAAAATCATTTAAAATGGTACAATAGTTCCAACATTTGATAAGATAACACTTCTTCAGATTGTAGCACCTTCAATAAAATGCATTGAGTGGTTAAGACAGCAGAGACACTTTGATGCAGAGCATATGACCAGAATTTTATATGCATAATACAGGAGGAAAAGTCAAATAGAAATGTTTTTTTTTCCTACAAGGCCAGAGAAATGCCAAAGAAAGGACTGAGCAATACAAAGATTACAGATCACTTTCAAAATGTACATCTTTTATCACTACTTAAAAGGCATGAGAGTTGCAATCATTACAGCTAGTCCTTAAAATATAAATACACAGTTTTAGAAGAATCTGTAAGAACAGATTTGTTTCTAAAATTCAAAATTGCTAAGTATTTTTCCCACTTTAACACCTGATGTGGAGTCACAAAGAGTGATTCAATCCCACCTGTCATTGAAGTCTTTTACCGAACTCACAGAACAAAAAAAAATCCTTTACGTTTAAACAAAGGAACCTTAATTGTTCGATACCATCAAGATACTTTCACTGCTGGTAGTTATTTTATCTCAGGGTCCCATCTTGTTTCTTAAGAGACACCAGTGTATCATCTTTGACAACTTGGCAGGGCGGCTAGTTCCAGACACACTACACTATATGTAATGTAGTGTTGTAATATGCCCCCTCTTCTCATTTTTAAATGCACTTTTCCAATTTGTGTAACTCCTTTAGTTGTCACTGCCTTGGGTAATCCAGTGTTGGAGATTTGTAATTCAGTACAGGGATTAGCTGTAATAAATTACAAGTTGCAGCCCATTGAAGTACTGTATAGGCAATTGATTGCAGAGTTATACTAGGAAGCATACTGTACCATACAGTGTATTTTGGTTGGCTAGGGATGTATTCCTAATTCAGTGACTGAATTAGTCCATTACTATTGTAGTGTAATCCTACTGTATATGAAGTGCACTATTTAAGATGCCCTATTAGAACTCACTTCATATGATCAGAGATAGCTTTGTGTGGGGAAAAAATAAAATAAAATGTTTTCATTCAAGTCAGTTAATTCAATTTAGAGACAACAAGAAAAGCTCACCCTGTCTCAAAGTAAATGGCCACTGCTCTCTAGTCTGCATGATACTGTACATTGATCATTTCAAGTTTCTTTAAATTGTTAACTACAGTATGTCCGTACACGTTATGGTATAAGACAGAGAAGAAGTAGAAATAAGAAGAATTTGAAAAGCAAGTCAAAAGCCTTTTCCTTGGAAGTTTTCTTAGAGTGGAATGTGGAAAAACTTGACAAACAACATTACCTCCAGTAGCTACATCACAAAGTGAAGTTTTGAAGTAGAGGATAAAAGGAAGTTATGTTATGATTTACACACCACATATCTACTATATGTATATGTACTGTATGACAAATTTCCTATTTGCCATATTGTGGTCACTTTATCAGTTTATTACATTCTGAAGAATGACATTTTTATTAGGGTTTGCATATATTTTTCTCTGCCGCAATTTTAAAGGCTTATTGCTTACAGATGCACAAAACGTATAAAAATACAAACTTGCAACAAAGGAGAAGCTCTGAAAGTGGATTTATAAACAATGACATATTAATTTGGGAATCTTATTTCTTATACTGTTTTTTATATTAATTGAAAAAAACTGGCATAGATGGTTTAAATGGTTAGACTGCACTATGAACAGATAGGATCACTGTACCTCTGTAAAACTGAACAAAACATGTTAATGTTAACTGATGTGGACACGGGAACAATAATGAAGATGGAACTATTATGGAACTCTCTGTGAAAGGAATACTGTATGTCCAGTAAATGTGAGGGACCTCTCATAATTGTTCTAATTCTTTGAGCTAATAATTTCCTTGAATAAATGCAGTTGTTTTTGAAGCTTCAATGGGATCCCATCTTAAATTTATCAATAATATGACATCCCTTAAGATTGTGCCCTGTCTGGAGCTAAACACTCCTGTGCCTTGTCAAGGATCTGAGTCCTAAGTGGTGACTGGAATTATATATTTAGTTTCAATAAAACACAAAATAATGGCAAGGTATCAGACAGTCCATGATCACAATGCATTGATGTACCCTAGTCACTTACAATACCTAAAAAAAAAAACTTGTTGCAAAAGTTTTGACTGCTTATTTTGGAGGATTCCCCAGAAATACACAACTACTATAATATTCATCTACCCATTCTGTATTATATGTAATAAAAATAAAAAATGACCAACTAAAGGATGAAGGCTTCCTTAATAGTTGCAGGGACTGGACATCAGACAGTTGAGTTGTAAGTGCAGTTAGGTCTTTATCTCTTGACCTACAGTATACTGCATTGAACAGTAGAAAGTTTTCTGTGACTTTACCTTCTCCGTAATAAAAAAAACAAACATTTTGTCTGACTCACAAAGGAAATCAGCTACTGTATGAAAATTGCTTTCATTCTTGGGCATATTACAGTTTCTTAGACACTGCATACATATATCACTGAAGTACAGTAAAGAACAAATAATTAATCATATTTAAAGCCTAACAGAAATAACACTTGACCTCTAAATCATCAGTAATTAGATGGGTACCTAAATATTGGAATGATAACATATCTCCCCATTAGGAGCTGTGAACGGAACATACACAGTTTTTGATGAAAGACTGCAGAAAAAAAGTGTTACATAAAATAGCATGAGTGTGATTTTACACTGTGGTAAATTGTCCATTCCATTAAATCATCTGCCATTACAGGGGATAAATTTGACTGACTCTTTTAAATCTCAATCTGGGTGATAAACTAACAGGCAAGATTGCCTTTATGTTTTTACCGCCCACATAAAAGGCCGTTTGGCGCTGATAACATAATTGCTCACAACAGACACACACCCACACACAAACAGACACACAAAGCAAGAAAAAAAGCTGATCTTTCATAGTTGAGAATTCACAGGATTATATTTGCTGATGAAATCCAAAAGGACATTCCCTTTAAAAAAACTGTTATGGTGTGGCAGATTTATTTTTTAATCTGTCACTGATAGGGTATGATCAGATATCATCACTAAGCCAAATTTGTTTTCTGTAGTAGAAAGAAATATTTCACATTAAAACCATGAACTGTTGTTTCTTAGGGAAGAAAATTAAACACGCAATGTTATATAATTGTTGCTATGATTTTGATAAAGAAACCCATTACTGTGATATAACATGAATGTTGCACTACTTATCTTTTGATATCTTCTTTGACATTAGTGTACCAACCTAACTGGTACAACACACCAACGTTTTGGTATTGTTTTTTATAAAATGGTAAAAAAACAAGTGATATAGGATTAACAGAGCTTTAACTACTAGTGCCTGTAAATTCATTGTAAAGACATGTGTTGACTTACCAGAGTTTCTCTTGGAGATTAATTTCAAATTTGTGCAGGCCGCAGAGCAGATAAGGAGAAACATGAAAGATGAAGGCTTCATCTTTCAAACGACTTTGGCAGCTGAAAACACAAATAAAACTAGAGTCAGGATTACAAGACCCATTACTTTTGGAGATCTGGTTTAAATGTAGGCCTGCGTCATTTCCAGAGAAGAGTTATGTCATACAAGTAACTCTTTTCAGGTTTGTGGTTCATTAATAAAAAAACAGGAGATACTTGTAAAATACATATATATTGTACATACATCAATTTCACTGGTCAGTGTCATCACACTGATGAGCCTTAATATAGTTAATACAGCTCTCTACTCCTGGAAACTTTGATTTTTGAATGTAAAAAGCAGAACTAAAGGTTTCTTCAAATGGTTCTGCCACCATCAGTGTTGTTTAATGTCATGTTCTTAGCCATTATACAGTATACTGAGCACCAACAGGAATGTATAACTTGTACCTACAACAAATACATGACATGATTATTAGGAAAAGTAATTTTTGTAACAAGTGTACTGATATTTTATTAAGCTGACATACCACAGATAAATCTTAATCAGTTTAATTAATTAATCATCAAAATCGTTGATCAACATGGGGTGTACCTTAAATATCATAAGCTAACAGATTGTTTGACCATTATTGGAAGCAACACAAGCTGAAAATCTGCAACACATGCTTTGTACCAGGTTTCAGATGTTGGCTTAGGGGTTTCAGTGTCATTCTTTTTAAAGAAACTCGGCACATATGTATTCATTTATTGGTCTCTGAACTCTACATGCAATATATCATCTAAGGACATCCCACAGATGTTTAATGGGCCTCATGTCTGATACATAGTGCATATTGTATATGATATAGCTGTGACATTTCCGTCTAAAAAGAGAACCATTGTTAAATGGGCACAGGGAAATATTTTGGCCCACAGCAATGTTGCTACACAAGGTGAGACCACAGGTAGGGTACCAGGTAAGTGATCAATGATCACTATAGTGTTGTGCATTTAGGTTGCCATAGAGAGTTGTGGATCTGTAGTGACTAGATACTTCTTTTCACCAATCACAACTGGATACCCTCTTCAATAAGTGTTGTGACTTCTGTTTTACCAGAACATAGCCTATCACTGACACTGACTTTACTAGCCTGTAACATCTTGCCAGGTTAGAAATATCTACAGTGTGCTGTACTAAGCAACACTTAACATACCAGTGAAACAAAAATGTTCTAATTTTGATAAGCAAAACATACTGTATGGACTAATTTCTGTGTTTTTCACCAGGTTTCACATTCAACAAGTTATATCAGTTTATCACCAGAGCCTAATCAGTACATGCTAACAAAGCAGTTTAATGCATATGCAACAGTCAAAGTCACTTGGGTGTGTCATTCATGAATGATGAATGAATCAACATTATACTAAAGTTTGATTTAGTGTCATAATTAATGAATTATTTAACAAATAAAAAATAAAAACTTTTAATAAACAAAGTCCACATACATTATTTTGCTCAAAGCACACATGCATAAAATGATATGTTTATTGTGATGCGCTGCATAAATAGAGAGGGATTAAGGGAGAGAATCAGGAACTTACATGTGACAGATTGCTGGGTTTTACAATTTCGCATCAGAGCTTTCTCGTTTCTAAGATGGTGTATTTCGATTATATCGTGAAACAGCTATATATTCTGTCTATATTCTGCAGTAAGAAACACTTTCTCTGCTTCTGTTCTGTAACCTTCATACATTTATCAGACTTAACCTCACATACACATCAAACAATACACAGTTGATAAACCTCAACGAATGGAAGAAATTGAAACTTCTTAACAATTAAGGCATATTACCAGGCATCTAAGTCCTTTTTTAAAGTATAGGCATCGGATCTAAAGGGCTTATATAAGCCTATAAATATAATTAACAGTATAGACTGTGACAGTGGAACACACCTCCCACTGCACTTCCCACTCTGCGGCGCGTGGGAATGTGCAGCTTCCACACCTGACGCCAATCAGCGCTGCGATTTAATGTGATAATGATAATGTTTCTTTATTAGCCCTATACAATTTCTTGCATTAAGAATTTGTCTTTTTGCATACCCCAGCTTTTTCTCAATGAGACACAGACAGGGAGAGAAGCTTGGGGTCAGAGCGCAGGGTCAGCCAATGTACGGCGCCCCCGGAGCAGTTGGGGTTAAGGGCCTTGCTCAGGGGCCCAATGGAGTAGGATTCCTCTGCCGGCCGTGGGATTTGAACCGGCAACCTTCCAGCCACAGGCGCGGATCCTTACCCACAGCTCCACGACCGCAGATAGGGTTCATGGCAGAACTAAATGTGTTCCCCTCATCGGTGACACAAACTACTTTCTCCGATTAGAGACAGATTTCTCCCCTGTACCAGAGAACCGAAACCTCTGCAGACGACTACACACCGGCACACCGCAAGGAAGACAACAAGCGCTCTGCCGGTGCTCAGGCAGCCTCCTAACTCTACCGACACTATCACAATACGTTTACTTGTCACGATCTCCAGATGACATCATTTGATTGCAGTGCTTTCCAAAACATTTGCATTCTGGGGTGCAATTTTAAATGATCTGTAAATGTTAACACCTGTTGCACAGAATAAAAACTAGGGCACAACCAATCTAACAGTAGAGCTGTTGAGAAAACGTTATATACTGTATTGTAAGACGGCAGTAGAGTCAGACGAGATGGAAATCCATGTGTCAGAAACACTTTCCCTAGAGGGCAATGGGGAATGCCATCCCAAGCCACCTGACCATCTGGTGGAAGATGGCTGGTCAGGTGACATTTTAAACTGGGAAGCAGATGGCCGTCAACCACTGTTATATGCTGGACCAGAACAGGAGGCAGCAAAACAAAGTGACAAACAAGCTCCTGATGTATTTTGAAGAGTTTCGGAAAGAGACTAAAGTTCTGGAAGCAAGTTTTTCAGAGAGAAACTTTAGTGTCAGAAAGAGACTTGTGTTTTTGAAGCCATTAACCAGCTTAGCTATCCAGCTATGATATAGAAAGGGACAGAAGAAGTGCAGGTAGAAGCTGGAAGAGTTTTGGACTTGCTTCCCCTGCACTGTTAATATTGAGCCTTATTTTGTACCTCTCTGCCTTCTGCTTTGTGTGTTTTTCTTTAGAATTGCCTATTTAACCATCCTGCTTCAGCACCCAGCCCCTATACAATAACACAGCAGCAATGTTTAATGAAGAACTCAAGGAATATAAATGAAGTACTGATCTTTACGTACTGTATACCTATATAGGCTATAATAATGGATCATATCAAGGTTGTATCCTACGGCAAATTTTGGTCCTTTTGGAAGAGCAAATATCTGCAGTAAGCCTAAAATTATTTAAAATTGATGTCCAGAATGTAATTGTCTTGAAAATGATTAAATCAGGTTAGATCAACCTGTCTAGCATTTGTTTGGTTTCTAGTAGCTAATGCATTCAGATTTTCCTTGAAGGAAATCAGGGTATTAGTTGACAAAATATAAGTTATGATACCAGCACTTAACACTGTATTGATAAGTACATACTGTATAAGACATTTAGGTCTACTATTACTTTTAATAATCCATGCTTCCAGACAGAGGCAGGAACAGATTTTACTGTAAATAGATTGATTTAATATTGTTAAGAAAAGTTCTGAAAAATATGAATTACCTTCACCTTAAAAATGTCTCTGTCTAAATTAACTATCATTTGAGCTTTACAAGGTTCATGGATTTTTAAAATAGCTTTTATTTTCTGACTATTGAGTGATCTTTACTGATCTTGACTGGCAGGAAAAAAAACAGACAAAATGTCCATTGTTCTGTTCTATAACATATCTTAAAATAATGAAATATTGTGTAACTGCAGGTAGAACTATATATGGCACGTCAACCAGGATGAGTCTAATATCCAGACATACAGAATGCAGCATTTCTTATTCTTTAGTCATTTTTTATAATTCTTCCAATTCCAAAGTGCTAGAGATACACTGGGGCAAAACTGAACACTTAAAAAAAATAAGTTTTCAAAATTCAGATACTATTGAAGTACAGTATAATACAATTTAAGATAAACCAATTTATATTCTCTAAGCCATGAGTTACACCTAAAAAGATGCAAGAATCCTATTTTACATTAAAGAGTTTCCAATAACTGATTTTTCGTGAGACTAGTATTTTCTATGTTTATTTTTATGCAGTATAACTCAGTATACAGCACTGCAGATTAATTAGACCAACCACTCTGGATAAAAAGTCAGCAATCCACAGCACTTATCATATTTTCTTTATATCCAAAACAGTTTCAATAAGCTCCATTACTGTACTCTGAGCTGGCAGCAGTATTTTACAACACCTCATTTTGTTTGACAGGTTTGCCTTGAGCTGAAGGAATAAGAAACAGTTTTCAACTTTTTCCACAAATAATGGGAAAATTGAAAAAGAAATATGCAATTGCTGTCATAAAAGGTGGTAATAAAAGTCTTTCCAGAGCTCTTTACACACGTTTTCATTCTGATGTGATATGTTACATTTTTTTGCTGATAGAACTTATTACTGTGCATTACCAGAAGTCTAGCTAGTACTGCATGTAACCTACTAGGCTTTAAATCAGACAATAGTCCACCCTCAGAAAAAGAAACAATAATTCTTTCAATCGCAATGTGACACATTACAGATTATGAATAGAAAGTCTTTGTTGATGCATATGTTATTCCTAGGTTTTAGAACATGGTGAACAAGTAAAGTTTGCACCAAGGTGACCCTTTTTAAAAACTAAAGCATGTGCACGGAACAACCTTTAAGATTTCAGTAATAAAATAGTTTCCTGCTCAAAAGAAATACTAAAGGCTTTACTTATAGAGTTATTTCAGCTGGAAGAGATTAATCAGATTAATATGTTAAAAATATCTGTTTTGCCTGGAATTCCTGTAATGTTATGCCTTAGGTACAGTATATGGAAACATGCAATCTGGACCATAGAAGGAGGAGGGTGATAGCTTATAGAAAGTTGATAATTCTGCTGATTAATGCAGCTAATCCCTTCTTCATCACTTGTAA